CGGGAAGCGCGCTCTGCGCCTGTCTGCTCGGTCCCCGCCAGCAGCCCCACGCTCCCCCACCGCGCCTTGACAGCTCTTCGAGCTGGGAGAGGAAGAAGAGGAGGAGGAAGGGCCGAAAAGGAGGAGGCGGCGGCGGAGGGAGGCGAACTGGGGCAGCAGGGGGAGGAGGGCTCATTGTCCGGTCCCCCCAGTCCAATTGATATGCTAATCCCTTTTCTGATGCCATAACAAAGAACACCTTTGCACTTTTAAAAGACTTTTGTGCCCTGGCTACAGAAGTTTATTATCCACTAATTAGCAACAACTTCTGGCAATGAGTTGGGTTACATTTTCATAAGCTCCAAGCCTGGGCGACGAGGTGCGCAGGGCAGGAGGAGGTTCGCGCGCAGGGCAAAGCCGAAACCTGGGGCTGGAAAGGAATCGCCCGCTCGGGCCCCTGGGCCGAGGGCGGGAGGAGGGGCTCGAGAGCGAAAGGGGTCCAGAGAAAGCGGGGGACCGAGCGATCTGGGCCCAGGATGGCAGGTGACTTTATTGAGTCCGACTGTGTGGTACCCGTCCGGAGAGCTGCGCGGAGGCGGCGGCTGCAGGCCGCCTCGCAGGTGTCCCGGCCCAGCCATCTGTTTGGAGGGGGATGGGGGGATCGTCTCGGGCGAATGTTCCAACGCTCGCCTCCGAGCTCACCCACATTTTCCTTTGCGGCCTGGACTCAATGAGCCGCGGGCGAAGGAGCGGCCCATTCGTAGGAAACGGCCAGCCACTGGGTTCCCGCCGAAGGCCTCCCCACTAGGAAGGCTGAAACAAGGCCCGGGAAGATGAGGCCAAGCTGGCATTGCCAGAGCCGGGCGAGGGGCGAGGGGCGGGGTGCGGGTTGGACGGTGATGGGTAAAGTGTCCGCGCGTGGTGGTCTGAGGTCGTCACCCCACAGAGCAGCCTGCTGGCTAACCCGAGCCGAGAGCCGCACCTTCCCGGCGGCGGGACGCGGGGCGCACCGCCTGACCTCGCCTCCCTCAGGCTTGGCAAGTCGTTGACGATCTTTAACAGTCCCACAGCCCAGGTCAATAAACTGGAAACGGATAGACTGAGCATCATCGGTGAAAGATAAAGGGCAGGGGGGTGATGCGCATTCCTTCTAGTGCCTCCAAAAAGAAAAAAAAACAAAACAAAAATCCCGAAAGCCCGTTGTCTGTCGCCGCTGATAAAACAGCCGTGCAGGGAGGCCTTCGGTCTGCGTTCAACCGCAGAGATGTTGCTTTGTCTTAGGCAATTCGAGCCCTCAGACCCAGTACCTTGGAATTGGATTATACACACACGCACGTATATCCTTTCTATTTCTTAAAATTTCTCTTTCATTTTCGGTTTTCTGCTTTTTGCAAATGATTCCGCTGAAGGTACTGTTGGATATTTCAGGCAGATGTCATGGGGGTGCTGGTGGCCTGTGCATCCTCTTAGGGTAGCAGCGACGGCCGAGTAAGGTTTGATAAACGTTCAAGGTGAAACGGGGCCTTACTCAAGACCCCAGGGTGATTTAGGGCACCAGAGCGAAGAGTGAGGCCGGAAGTGGCGAGTTACATTGTTTCAGTCCCTTTGGATGGAACTAATTGCGGTTATCTTCGGTGCTAACCTGTGTGGTATCCGAGTGCAATGTTTCTGAACAAGCGCCGTTTAAAGTAGAAAATGGGGGGGAGGGGGTTAGAGCCGGCTGACGATTTAACGGAATATTTCTGAAAGAAATACAAAGATAACCAAGATATTAATAATATTGGACATTACAATCTCCCAGACAAGTCTCTCTCTGGAGCCAGAAAGCATTCCCAAATTTCTCCCCAGCAGCGGCCTTGAGAAGGGTGACGGAGGAGGTGGGTAGTGAGTGTGTTCCGAGAAGGTCTCTCTCTCTCTGTTGTCACCCACGGCCCCCTTCACTGAAGAAGAACAATGGCCCGGCCTGGGGTTCTTTCTGAAAGAGAAACTGCGGGAAGGCAGAGTTGCTCTTTGTACCCCGGCCCCTTTACAGAAGAGGGAGCCATACACACACCCCCTCTGACCATTGGGCGGTGTCCGCGACATCAGAACCGCTCCGAGACTCTCTGAGAGCTGAAAGGGCGCCGGCCCTGTGGTCCCATAAGGCCCACTCAGCCGCCGGAAGAAACCCGAGCAAAACCAAGCGACCTCAGAACTCGCCAAGGGAAGAGGGGGGTGCGAGAAGCACACACTCCCACATGGGCTGTCAGCCCCCACCCAGCATCCGAGCGTCTGATCACGGCTGATTCTGCTTACGTGTGTGCTTCAGATTAAGGCTGTATTTATTTATTTATTTAATCCTTCAGATCTTTCCATACCATAAAAAGACTTAATTCCTTGCCAAGGCTAAGGGTTGATAAAAAGGATCCACTTTAAAGCAATGGGGAATCATCTGACTGTGACCTTGACGTGTGAGGGGGGGAGGGGCGGATAGATGTGGGCCCAAACCGTAGGCTTCTTCATTTCTGGGACATTCTAGGCCCTCGCTAAGGACACCAACAAGAAGAAGAATTTATTTTCAAAGGTTACCATTAGTAGTTCATTCGCTGAAGTTGGGAATTTGGTATTTTTATATTATGTGAAATACATGATTTAATTATACTCGAAAAACAAATTAAGGACAGGCCTTCTACACAAATTGGAGGCAGCTAAATGCTCTTTTGTGCCTGCAGCCCTCGGGTTGTTAAAGAGGCTGCTGATGCATGAGAAGTAAGTGACTGATTTAACTCATTGGGATGCAGGAAGCGACCTGCCCTCTTTTGAAAAAAAAAAAAGCGAGCGAGCGAGAAAGAGAGAGAGGGAGAGAGAGAGAGAGTCTTCGAGTTAGAGAAGAGAGGGAGGGGAGAGGAGGGAGAAAAAGGGGGAGAGAGAGAGAGAGAGAGAGGAGAGGGAGAGAAACACACCAAGGGAGGGAAGCAGGGAGGGAGACCAAACCCCCGCTTTACTGCGTTGAAAGCTTCTGAATTTCAAGCAGAAAGTAGAAGGAGCCCCACACGGCAATGAGCGTCTTTCCTTGGGCTGCGTGTACGGAGGGTAGACAATGAAAATCTCCATCCCCCTCCCCCATCCCCACTAGCCTACGAGATTTGTGTTTTCGTTTCTTCTCAACGGTGGAAGATGTGTAAAAACAAATATATAGAGATGTGCAGAGATTTTTTTTAAAAAAACCAACCAGCCAACCAAACGGGCTGAGACACGGATTACCCGAGTGCGCCCCAGCTGTAAGTACTGTCTTTTCCTGCGTGAGCCCGGCTCTGCATCGCCTGGCAGGCTGGGAGTGTTCGCTTTGTGAGTCGGGTCGCTGCTTGTGTTTTGGTGTTTTTATTCACAGGGGCTTCCTCCGAGCTTGCACTTTTTGCACGTGAGCAGGAGAGGTGTTTCGCCCGTTGTGGGCGTGCAGAACTGGGCTGTCTTGGATGCGGTGACTTGGAGCAACGGGCGGGGGGCGGG